GTACAGGCACGAAATGTGAGCTGTATGAAGTCTTGCTATGACAATGAGCTACATTAAATGCAGAATGGTAGATCTAAAATACAATGGCCAAGTTCAGTGTAGGGTAGTTAGAAAATGCATGCATCAAAAGCTATGCTGTGTGCAACATGGCAGGATACAGACATTAGTTGAAATGGACTGAGTCATGCAATTATTTGGAAAGAAGCTGCTGAGGAGAATAAAAAAGTGTGGATACCTGTGTGGATCATAGCTTCCTCCATCTTTATTTCCTGATATAGGAAAATACAAGAGTAACTTTTGTTAGTGTTTAGAACTTGTAAAACCATTCAAAATGTAGTTTTCCATGCACAGCATCTAATTCCTAAAAAGAAATGTACTGTGTTAAATAAAGACAGAGCTGCAGTCCAACAAAGATTTCCTGGAAGTTTTACATAAAAGAACTGAAAACCCACAGGTTTTCAAAAATAATAAAACCCCCAAACAATTAGATATTTAAAAAACCAGAAACATTTGTAGATGTAGAAAGAGATACAAAGAGGCAACACCACAAATCATGTAGAATGGAGCATTCCTGTGAAAAAATAATAAATCACAATGTTCAATCAACCAGAGTTAAGTGCAATGAATTCCAGAGACTTGAAGTAAAAATACCAGCTCTGTTTTACTCAGGGACTCTTGTAAAGAAATGTTGCTTTCTTCAAAAATGAAGGAGACTACTGGTGATTAGAAGTTTGCAACATTAAGTCTCAATTGTGGTTAAGGAACCTGAAGTTGTTCACATAGGCAGACAGCATTTGAAATAAACACAGAATTTACTACCTCACCTGATACTGGGAGGCAAAACTAATGAAATAAACCCTGCAAGAGAGAAAGGAGTTATGGCTGTGAAGATCTGCATGCGGCTGTTATTGATTAGCTCCAATAACAATATCCCTTCTGCTGCATTTCTGTCAAATGATGGGTTTTGCCATCAACATCTGTCAAGAATAACCTGTGCAGACTTGCAAAGAGGCCTCCTGGTCATGCAGATGTGCAGGATTGGTGTATAGGGATAATTCCAAATTGTTCAGAGCAACATGTAGGAGAGTAACACAAAACAATGTTAATGAAATGGAAATAAACACTGCTATTTCTCTTGTACCTGTTTCAAGTCCCTTTGGCCTTGGATTGCACTGCTTGTAACCTTGACAACTTCGCAGTTCCATGAGCTGGATGTGTAATTGATTCAAAATGCCTCTTTCCACTGTGTGAACTGTGTTGGTCAGCTGAGAAAGAGAGGAAGGAAGGGAAACCATGCTTGTTAACAAAAAATTAAGGGAACCCTGGAGGAGTCTGGTGAATGACATTTTGTAACAGGGAAAGGGTTTTACCTGATAGGGATCAGTGTTCATATCAAAATATTCCAAGAAGCCAGTTGCAAACTCACAAAACAGAAAATTGTGGGTGTCATTAACTGTTCGCAAACACCAGTAAGTGTTGTTGTTGGAGCTTGTGCAAGCACAGAAAGAGCCCACTGTAATTAAATAAACAAGTCATTAGTTTTTAGTCAAAAATAATATGCTTATTTTTTTCTACTAGTACCTTTACTCGTAGTAATAAAATACTAGCATTGCCTTAGGTTTTTATTTAGATTTATTTAGATTTGGGTATTGAGACCAGCTGTGAACAGTGTCCATATTTTGAACAGACTTAATAAAAATAGTAATGGTAGCTCTTCTTTAAATTGTGAACCATGTCAAAAGGACATTTTTCTACCCCATGACTGTTGCTGGAGCATTGCCAGAATGCACAGCAATGTGGGAACTTTTTCATAACTTTTTGTTACTCCGCAGTTAAAAAGAAATTAACCAATGTAATTGTGGTCTTTAAATCAAAATATGTCATGCATATGTCTACTTTAGGAACATTTTAAAATGTAAAGTACATATTAGCAGAAGTTCTAGTACAATCAGAACAGATATCACTAGGAGACAGTTTCTTTCTCCAAATGAAAAATTGTTCTTAGCAAATTTTCAGCTTGGAGTCAAGTATATTGTAACTTAATTGTCACCTGATCTTGAAATTTCTGAAAATAAAGTTTTCAACCACTTTTCTTTCTCCATCATCACAAGAGAGAAAAATAGTTTGTTAGTGCTGAATACTGAGAAATGTTTATCTCTCAATAAGATAGTAATCTATATATCCTGAAGTTTAGAGAGAATTAAAATATCCTTTACCTCTAATATTTTGTTCATTTACACAAGTGCTATGCAGTCGTGATTTTGAAAATATTTTAGCATATAAAAAGTAGAATAATGGGAAGAGTTCATAAGGGATAGATCTATTTTGTTCAATATATGACATTTGACAGCATTAAAGGTCTGAATGATGCTCTGATTACATGAAGTGGAAAACCAGTAATACAGCAGAGGATAACCTAGATCACATTTG